AAGATTGGGTTAAATCTTATGAACACATCTTGTTTCTTTCCTGGCTTTGGCTGCTAGGCAGCTGAAGGCCACATTCCAGTTGATCTCTGATGGCTAAGTCCCTCTGCTACCAATCAGTCCAGCCCTCAGCATCACCAGCTCAGCCTTGGGTGCTTTTGCTCAATTCAAGATGGAAATCATGAAGAGGCAAGCGATTCCAGAAGGCTTGGCTGAATCGTATGCTTAAGGGCAAAAGAGACAGCAAGTGAGTAAGGCTCCAGACTGGCTCCTGGAGGAAGCTGGGAGCAAAGCTCTAGGGCTGACAGGTGGCTGGCGCAGGTGTCCTGGCAGCGACTGAGCAGGGCTCCCCGCTTCTGCACACACATGTTTTGCTCTGCTCCCAGGTCTGTGCTTGGTGGGTGATCTGCTCCTGCGTGCTGAGCATTTGTACTCTGTTTGCAAAGGACAGCAGAGGCGCTCCCCATGGCCAGCCCAGGAGGTCATCTGGCATCAGAGCCCGGCATTCTGCCCACGAGAGGCTGCAGGAAAGTCCTTTTGCAGGCACTGAAGGAAGCACATCATGGAAACAGGGCCTCCTGCTTATCCTTAGAGGCAAAACGTGGTTGGGAAGTTTTCTCCTTGGTGACACTTTAGCGAGGCCCTTACAATATTCTTCTTTTCTATGTTTTGATTTGGCCCTGGCTTCACCTGCCCAGTCGGCCACCATTTTCCTAGTCACGGGATCTTCCTAACCATTTCTTTGCTGCTGTTTTGCGTGTGTTTTTGAAAATGGCCTCAAATTGCTTTTGGAGCAAGGCAAGGCACGAACAAGGAGCCGAGGATCACATTCCACCGGGGACCTCAGCCCGGGAGAGCAGCGAGCATCCTGGGGGCAGCACCGGATCTGAAGCAGGCAGCCAGGCCTGCCTCTGAGCCTCCGAGGTTCCCACTTGTTAACCACCATCTGGGACTCCACTTCCCCTCTGGGATCCTCAGTGTCTTCATCAGCAAAATGACAATAGCAGTGGTCACACTGAGCCTAGCTGTAAAGTGAGGGTGCTGGGAGGTGGCGGTGTCTGCAGCACCTCCTCAGGTGCTGGGTGCACAGTGCTGGCGCCCCACAGAGGACCTGGATGGGTGTGCGAGTGCTTAGGGGGCTGTGAGCTGAGGAAATGTGGGGACGAGGGGGGCAGTTTGCATGTGCTGCCGACGCTGGACAGGAAAGACCTCCTGGAGGGAGGTAAGAGGAGGAGGTTGCTTTCTGAGCACAGTGGGGCCACCATGAGAGGGGAGAGGACTTGGAATGGGTCCATCCAGTTGGACAAGAAATGGCTAGAGGCCTCTCAAAGCCCTGGCACTGACAGTACAAGGACAGGCAGGACGTTGGGGTGTGTCTCAGTCCAGTCCAGGCTGCCCATGTCTTGGAGTGACCCCAGAGGTGGTGAAAGGCACATCTGCTCAACCATGGGAAAGGGCTGGCTTGGCTGTGCCTGGGCCAGCTGCCCACTCTCCTGGACCCCCTGGCACCAACTCAGACCCTTCAAAACCACGACAAGATGGCCTTCAAGGCAGTGGGAAAGCCCCTGGTATCTGGTGGCACCACCGAAATTGTTTATCTGTTTATGTGCCTTGTGGGTCACTGCCTGGTGTGCACATCACAGGGGAATAAATGTGAGCGCGCGCACACACACACACACACGTGCCCCACATGTGCACACCTCTACCACATGTTCCCATGGATACCTACGCCTGAGCACACATGTGCCCCTGGACACACGTGATTGCACCTGGGCGTGTAGCACCCACAGGCACACAGGCCGCGCACCCACACCTTCAGAGACAGCCCCTGGCTCTGCAGGCTGTGCTCCAACGGGAAGAAGGAAATGCAGGTGAGCTGTGGTTCCCACTCAGGGGGGCGCCCGAGTATGGGCCCACAAGAAAGCCAGCCTCCTGTTTACCCCTTCACTGGCCACGCATAAGAGCCCCATTATGACCGAGCTGCTTTATCTTGGTGACACTTAGTGACACTTGTTTTCTTTGGTTTGGCCCAGTATGTGCTCTTGTCATTGCCCTATACCCATTTAAAACTCCTCCTTTGTCCCAGCTTCCTTGGAGGGACAGTATTTGTGTGGTTTTCGACTCTGCCTGCCAAGCCGCGACAGGCCTCCCCTCAACTGCTCATTTGTTGATGAGCAAGGCAGCGGGTCTGGGCCTTGAGCTCCCTGTGAACCAGGACTCGGGAGCAGGGAGGCTGGGGCGGCTTCTGGGTCCCCGAGGCCACACCTGCCTGGCTTCCCTTTGGGCCACAACACGGGCAACAGCTCATTGCCCCCCCTCTTTTTAAAAGGCGTTCCCTTTGGATTCTGGGGTTCTTAAGACCCCTCCACACGGCCCACTGTGCCTGCAGCCCAGAGTAGCCTCCATCCTCCGAGTCAGAATGGAAGGCCAGCAGGATGGCGTCTCCAGGGCTGGAGAGCGCGTCATCTGGGCAGATGCCTTGCCTGCGACCTGCTGGGTCCTGCTCAGGACTGGGCTCCTTCATGTCTTCCCGCCAACCCTAGGGCATGGTGAAGTGGGGGTGGCTGCAGCACCCATGACCCCCGTGCCCCTCCAGCTGTTCTCACTCTACCAAGTGGCTCCCCGGGCTTGAAAGGCACACGTTCCTCTTGAAGGTGAAGAGAGGAGGGGGGCAGCGCATCCCAACATTCAGACCCCAAGAGAAGGCCAGCCCAGCTGGCAGCCAGGGCTGGAGGACAGCGAGCAGGGCCAGACGTGCTCAGGGTGGCCTTGCAGAAGGTGCGAATAGCCCTGCCTTTCACCTGTGTGAGGGGAGAGGCTCTGGCAATCACGACCTGGGATGAGAGGCAGGAACCCCCACTGCTGGGGACACCTGGACGAGTGGCCTCTGGCTGAAGGCCGTGTGGCAGAGCTCAGTCTTCACACAGGCACGTTGGGTGGCCTGCACAGGGGAGGCTGTCCCCGGGCTGGGCTGAAGAGCAACATAGCCCTTGCTGGCCACCCCCCGGCCCCTGCTGGGAATGCTCCCAAAGTCTCTGTCACTCACCCCCAGCACGTTCACGGGCACCGCCAGGGCAAAGAGGTGCCAGTCTGTGGCAAAGCCGGAAAGCGAGGCCCTTCTCCACAAGGCCTGTTCTTGACTCTGAGCTTCTGCCCAAACTGCCCCTTTTTGTTTAGATGTCTTCCAGTTTGTAAAATGGTGGTGATGAAATGGGCTTTAAACAGCTCTTCATTTGGAAAAGAAACAAAAAGGTATCCTATGCTGGTCTCCAAAACGAAATTTATTTGGGTTTTTCAGGTTCGTGGACTCTAGTTTGGAAACAGCAAATCCACCTCGTGACCAAAGCAGGGAGCTCTGGTGAGCCTCTCAGGTCCTCCAAACTCCTGTGCCCAGTGTCCCTCCCTTTGTCTGCTCTGGCCCCTCGGCCCCCCACTATGCCCCAGCCCCAGTGACTTCCAGGCCTGCTGTGCCAGGGCCATCTGGAGCCAAGCCCTCTGTCCTCTGCTGCTCTGATCCCACCGCATGGCTGGTGAGGGACTCTCCTCACTTCATTTCCCTCCTTGTCCACCAGCCACAGGAGAGAGCCTCAGTGCTGTCTCTGCTACACCCTAACCTTGGGTTTCCTCCTCCCAGGCCCACAGCCCCGGAGCCACTTGGCTCTGCCTTCTCCACCCTCATCCTGGGTGCCCGAGCCTGGCTTCAGGAGACACCACCATCAAGGGGCATGGCCCCTCTAATCTATGGCCCAGTCCCAGCTGTCACCCTGCTACTTGTCAGTGCTTCAGTGAACCTTTGGTCAGGGCCCTGTCCTTCTCCTCCGAGGCTAAATTCCCTGAATGTGCAGGTTGAGGGTTTTGGGGTGGAGACGGCTGGCAGACCGTAAAAAGAAGGAGAGAGATTTGGGGTCCGCAGTGTGTCAGATATTGCTGAAGCTGCGGGAGTAGATGGAGTCCAGGTGGAGGAGGAGGAGAGGGATGGGACAGAGCTGGGAAGACACTTGCTGTCCCCAGTGCCCACCTTCCTCCTGGGTTCCTCATCACATGTGGCAACCTCAGAGATGGCAATGACTGAGTCCAGACCTGGGGCCATTCATGGCCCCTTTGTCCTCCTGACAGCCACATGGCCACTGGCTTATGTTTCTGATGACCATTTCTGCCATCTTTGCCATCCCCTCCTTTCCCTGGGCCTCTAGCTCTGCTTTGTTCCTGGGGTGCAGGGGCCAAGCACATTCGCCTGTGTGCCCTCAGATGCAGGGCAAGCTGGCACATAGAAAGGTTCTTTGCAAGTTTGCTTCCAGAGATGCTCTCCACGCTGAGCCTGCAGGAGGCTTGCTGGTACGCGGGTTGCCAGGTCCCACTTCTCAACCTCAGGGTTTGCAGTTCTAACAGTTCTCAGGTGATGCTGGTGGTCCACGGCCCACACTTTGGAACCAGGGCTTTAGTGCATGGAATGAATGTATGCTGATACTGGAGGCATGGTCTGATCCATTCCAGTTGTATTAATCTAGATCCCTCATACAGGGACCCCTGCGGCAGTTAGGGCACCCTAATATCTGTCTATTCCACTGGCCTTCTGCTCAATTCAGTCAGTTCTAACCCTGCAGTGGTTCTTAACGTGTCTCCATGAACCACACTCCACCACCCCTACTACCAGAGAATTATGTGGCGTGTGTGTGTGTGTGTGTGTGTACATGTGTATGTGCGTGTGTATGTGTGGTTCTGGGGATTGAATGCAGGGCCTTGCGCACGGCAGGGAAGCACTCTACCGTTGAGTTAAACCCCAACCCTTTAAAAGTTGTTTTAAATTTTGAGGCAGGGTCTCACTAAATTTCCCAGATTGGCTTTGAACTTGTAATCTTTCCACTTCAGCTTCCCAAGCAGCCAGAATTACAGGCCTGTGCCCCGATGCCTGGCTGTGCCGCCACATTTTAGACAGGAGGACTGAGTCGACCTGGGTGTGCTTGGTTACATTCTGAGTTGGCTTGTTGTTTCTGTCTTTCCAGATGGTTATGCATAGTGGGGCATTTTTGGATTCCTGTTCATCCCTTTCTCAAAGTCCTTTCCCAGTCAGGGGTGAAGGTGTTGAGGGGATGAGGAAGCCCTGCAGCTGTGTGCACCCACAGGGAGGACACTGAGACATCGCCAACCCCCTCTGGAACATTAAGACTTCAATGGCAGAAACTGAGCCCATCTCTTAATTTAGCAGAAAGAGAAACAAATGCCACCATTCTGACCATCTCGAACTGGACACAGACACTGAATGAACTGAATCAGCTGCACTCAGGCCCCTGGGTGCTCTGGTTGGGAAGTGGCTTAAGTGGGTGTCCTGTGTCTCTTACAAACCAGGGATCACATGTCTGAGATTTAGGGGGTCAGTTGTAACAACGCATTTGGAGGTGCCCAGAATCGTTCCTTATGCAGAAACTCCCTGAGGAAGAACCATGACAGGCTCCTTTAACTCAATAAATTGAGTTTCTTTTGGATTCCATTCAGTTTCCTTGTTCTCATTCTTTGCTCCCAAGAAAACTATTGGTATATGATTCGGTGTCTTAAGCCGACTAGTTGTGGAGCCAAAGTATACTCCTATTGTGAGTGAGTGGCTTGGCTTCCTGGTTCACCATTACTCCCTGGTGTCTGTAACAACGTGACTGGGTTTCCTAGAATCTGATCGCCTGGGTGACTTGAATCTGAAGACAGATGCTTGGCCTGAGGAGCTGCCCCAGTGTCCCTGGCCTCCACCTTCTCCCTCAGGCTGGCCTGCCCAGTCCCAACCACCCCTCCGAAGGCGGCTCACTGGCGTGGCCAATGGGAAAGAGTGTAAAATAGCCTTGGGAAGATGGCGCTTGTGGGTGAAGGGGAGAGGCTCTTGGGATCTGAGGGTGGGAGAGGGAGGGAAACGAGGGTAGCAGAGGGGCTGGGGGCCACAGCTGTGACCTTCTTTTATTTCTCCACTTGGCTGCAAGCTCACCCTGGGCCACAAGATGCGTAAGTCATCCCAGTTGTTAATCTGGATCTAGTGTTGCCATTGAAAACACTCTTCAGGTGATAGGCACTTGGCATCTTTTGTAAGGCCTGTGTCAAGCAAATCTGGTCCCCTTCTGATGGCCCAGAGGGCTTTCCTTCTCAGCCTGTCCCCCTGAACATTTCTGAATAGCAAAACATCCTTTGGTGGCAGGAACTCAAATCCAGGATCCACCATGTGAATGCAAACAGTCTTTTGAGGAGAAGGAAGTGGATTAAGAGTCTAGAGTGCATAATACCAGGTTTTGGAGCCAGAATTCCCTTCAAACTCTGTCTCTACTTTCTAGTTGTGTTGTGTGAGTTAGTAACTTAACCTCTCTGAGCCGCAGCTCCTTAGCAGTTATTAATGCAGTTTGGACAACTTTACCCAAAGTAGCCCTCCCACCATAGATCCTCTCTACTCTATTGCCTTATCTCCTTCATAATCCTTATCATCACCTGAAATGCTTCTCCCAGCTTAGTTATACCTTGTTGGCTGTCTGGGTTGTCTTAGTCTATAAATTCCAAGAGGCCAGGGATCATTCCATCTTCACCTGGAGCTCTGAGCTACTTGCTGTATGAATGGAGGAAGGAACAGTGTGTTCCTTAGTACGTGGCTGGCTGTGAGCGCAGAGCTCCCGTGGTCCACCTGTGCAGAGTAGCCTGGGCTTGCCTTCCACATAGACTCTTGCTCGGGCAGTTTAGTCTGCAGATATTTCTTGAGCACTTGCTAGGTGCCACACACTGTTATTTACAATGCAGCAAAGAACAAAGCAGACCAGATTCCCTGGTTTGTAGAAGCTTGCACTTCAGTGGAGGTGAAGAGACAAAAGAATTCAGAAGCAAGATATAAGGAGCTGGATGGTGAGAAGGGTGAGAGAGGGGCTAGGAGGTGCTGTGGGGGGTCAGGAAAGTGCAAGGTTAATGCTTTCTATCCAAGTTAAAGCTGGAATGTAACACACAGCGTGTTTACTATAACTTATATTTCACAATGTATAATGGAACCACTTTAAGTTAGGAAACCAGGAGCTCAGAATGTAGCCATTTTAAAATTCCCTAACTGGTATCCAGTCACAACTGTAGCCCTTTCCCTGTGCTTGCCCCAATTTTAAATTAGCTAATCCTATCGATTGTAACCCCAAACTCCTCCTAGCAGAGCAAGGGGTATTATTGCATTAGGGATAAAAGCAGGCAGACTGCCCACCCAGGTCTGATTCCCTCTGGGGTCACATCCTTCTGCAGGAGTACAGTTTTGTCTTGCAGAACCACTTCCAAGCATGTGTTTGATTTCTTGGGGTACCTGGGTATTTATTTATTTTTCTTTTAAATTTGTTTATTCTAATTTGTTATACACGACAGCAGAATGCATTACAATTCATATTACACATATAGAGCACAATTTTTCATGTCTGGTTGTACATGAAGTAGAGTCACACCATTGATGTCTTCAAACATGTACTTGGGGTAATGACGTCCATCTCATTCCACCGTCTCTCCTCCCCCATGCCCCTTCCCTTCTCCTCTGTCCCTGCACCTCAGGATTCCTAACAATTTTGGCACCCAACGTGGGGCTCCATACATTGTCTAGGGGGTTGTGGGGTCTTCTTCCTAGAGGAGACGTGTCCTCCTGCCTGGTTGCAGAGTCCTTGGGTTCGGGGAGCAAACTGTGATCTCTGATGGCGGTAACAGACTCAGAATAGAAAGTGGACCAGCAATGGGGGGACAGGGCCCTGGCCAGCACTGAGGTGAACAGGTAACTTTGTGCATGGACCAAGGCAGGAAAATCTGTTCTCAAGCTCAAGAGGGAAGTACTTCCCTGGTGGTCAGGACATCCTGGAGGCCATGTGAGTGTGACTGAGACGTGACTTGGCCACAAGGTGAGTGTGGACTCCCAGTCTGCGAGGGAGCTGGCAGGGGCAGAGACAGAGCCTTGGGAAGGGGAGTGTAGAAAGCCTTCAATGAAGGGGGAGCTAAGCCTCTTGAGATGCAGGAATACAAGACCAGACCCAGGGAAACGGGGTGGGCAGTGAAAATCCTACTCTAGAGAAAGAGGATGCCCACAGGGGAAAAGACACCAAAATTCCCCCAGAGAGCACTATGGGCTACTTGCTAAAATATTGGAAAGATAATCCCAGGACAGAAGGGAAAGAGAAAGAAAAGATGGTAAAATACTGTTGTTTTATATGGACTCAGGAACCTCTCCTAAAGCCTTCAGCATTTTGGCCAAAGGTTGGAGCAGATGAAGATTGGATATATCAATTATATAGAATATCTAAATGATAAAACCCTTGTAATCAGGAAGAGAGAGATTATGCTTTTTGTGGAGAAAGGGGCCTAAAGTCCTCTTTCCTCTTAAAATTACTAAAAATAGGAATAAAGAGGGTAAAACTCAGAAGGAAGAACCAAACGAATGGGATCTCTTAACTTGTCTTCCCCCATCATCAACTCCTGCAGGTTCAGATCTTGATCCAACTGAGGAACAAAATTCAACTCCTCCTGCCCCCAGGAATGTTTCAGAAGAGAGCAGAAGGCAACCAGGGCTGGCTGCAGTGGCTTCTGTCCGTCCCCAGCTTTGGACCCTTCCTACCTAGGCTAAGAAAAGAATCAGAGCAGTGCAAACAAGATATTCAAAGTTTCCCCTTTCCCCAGGGAGGAAAAAACTGGATTCCTTCCCCTGACCCCAACCCTTTATCCTTTAGCTGAGGTTCTTCTGGGAGGGGGTGAAATTGGGTTTGTAAATGCCCCTCTTACTAGCTCAGAGGTGAGGAACTTAAAACAGGAACTAAACCTTTGTTAGAGGACCCACATGGGGTAGCTGAACAATTAGATCAATTCCTCAGCCCTCAACTTTATACATGGGCTGAAGTCATGTCTATCTTAAGTATCTTATTCTCTGGGGAAGAAGGAGGAATGATCAGGAGGGAACGTGAGCATCGGTTGGACCTGAACTTCTGCTGGCTGATGTAAAACTCCCAAATCAAGAACCCACTGGGATAATAATAATGAGACACACAGGGGCCACAGAGCTCTCAGAGATTGACTGTAAGGGAATAACGGAGGGCTGTCTAGGAGGAAGTCCCGGGGTTCCAAACATAGCCAAGACTTTTATTATACAATGAGAAAGAGATGATGGCCAACAGAAATTTTTTTTAGATAGATTGAAGGAACAGATTTGAAAATATTCTGGATTAGATGGATTATGTGACTTCTTAGGGCAAGGAATGTTAAGACTACATTTTTTTGGCCTGACTTTGCTAAAAAAATCACAGAAACTAGAAAATTGGAAGGATAGACGTCTAGAGGGATTAGTGAGAGAAGTTCAGAAGGTATCTGTAAAGAGCAAAGGAATCAGGAACAAAAGGCTAAAATTATAGAACAAGTAACTCAACAAAAACCAGGCCCCAAAATCAGGGACAAGGGGTCTCAATCAAGACAACCCAAGAGACAACAGGCCAAAGGACCACGGAGGGAAAAAGGTGGAAACAAATGCTACAAATATGGAAAGGAAGGCCATTTCAAGAGGGCAGGACCCAAATGGGTAGAGGAAGAAAGGGTGACACCCCTCATACCCTTGATGAAGATTAGGGAGGTCGGGGCTCTTCCACACCAAGGGGTCCTACCAAGAGCCCCTGATAAACCTGGAGGTGGGACCCAAAGGGGGAGAGAGAACGTTCCTGGTTGACTCTGGGGCAGCTCGTTCCTCTTTAGTGTATCACCCCGTCCTTCCACACATGCCCCACAGACAGCTGCTCGTGTCAGGAGTAAAGGGGGAGTGTTTTCATGTCCCTGTTTTTAAAAAGACTCAGGTAAGACAGAAATAGGGACAGACTCAAACAGAGCTCCTCTTTGTGCCTGCAGCAGGGACCAATCTCTTAGGTGAAGACTGACTGTCCAAACTTGGAATAGGATTAATGATCAGTGACAGGGGAATTCAGATTTCCCTAGACCTTCTAACTGCTAAAGAAGGGAAGAGTCTTCCTGAGGTCTGGACAAAAGAGGGGCATCTAGGAGGATCAAAGGTCACCCCAATACATAAAAAATTAAAGGAGAATCAGTCAGAGAAAACGATACCTGATCCCTCATGAAGAGAGACCAGGATTAGGACCTGGGTAGAGGGGTACTCAAGATGGCCACTCCCCCACAACACTCTCATTTTACCAGTGAGAAAGCCAGATGGATCTTATAGATTAGTCCAAGACTTGAGGGCGACAAATCAGATTATTCAAGACAGACAGCCTGTAGTCCCTACTTCCTACACTCCTACTAGCAAAATACCTTATGATGACTGGTGGCTTAAAGTCATAGATTTGAAAGATGCTTTCTGGGCATGTCCTTTGGCTGAGGACAGTAGAGATCTGTATGCCTTTGAATGGGAGAATCCTCAGAGGGGAGGAAACAACAATATTCATGGACAGTCCTTTCCCAGGGTTTACAGAGTCCCCCAGTGAATTTGGACAAATTCTCGAACAAATATTAGAAAAATTTGAG